GGCTGTACAGGGCTTACCCCCTGTGTACATGCTCATGGTGTCAGCCTCTAGATTGTCTGATCCAGACCGGAGTATTTACAGGCCGAGGGTTTCATAGGCTTGGAATTCTGCATAATGTTGTTAAACATCAAATAGACAAGACGTGATTGTGAAGACTTGTCAATGTTGCTGAATGACAGGGCAAATGGTGCCGGCAGGGATGAATCGCCATTGTTTGACGTACCAGTGGTGTAACAGTATCTTTACATGATACTAGTAGTTCACCTTTACCTCATGTTCAAGTGGATTTTAAGGGGCGGTGGGGTAGCCTTGTGGTTAAAGCGTTGGCTCGTCACGCCGAAGACCCGGGTTCGAATCCCGACATGGGTACAATGTGTGAAGCCCATTTCTGGTGTCCCCCGCCGTGATGTTGCTGGAATATTGCTAAAAGCGGCGTAAAACCAAACTCAGTCAGTCAGTCAGTCAAGTGGATTTTGTTGGGAGATGTTTTTATTTATGCATTTGCATAATGGATAAATGCGCAATATAAATGGACTATTATTATTATATTACTTATTATTTCAGATGAGCCTTGATGCAGAATAATGTCACGTTTGTTCATTTCTTTCATAAAGTGACAATAAAATTGAAAACTACTTTCCCATTTCGGCCAGTGTTGATTTGTAGGGACGCTGTAGTCACGCCAGCTTGATGCGGAAGGAAGCGTCATCAAAACCTTGCTATAGACGTAATAAACCAGAAGTGGTTCTCCAATCTCCATAACATTGAACCTCTCCGTGCTGTACTTCTTTGAATGTGTTAACATTTTATCCAACAAAATGCTGCGTATTAACATCCACAGTCACATTCTGCGTCAGGATGCAATGGATAGCTTGTTATTTACTTTGATTTTTTTTTAATCACATAATGAAACTATCACGAACAAATTTATTTGGGGCATCCGGAATATTTGAGGCATCAATGCATCGATGTATATTTGAGTAATAATTTCAAAGCTGGTCAAGCGTCCTCGAGTGTAGTTTCCCGAGGGAAGGGAGTTAACCGTCCATAAACTTGCAGCTTCCACGAAACTTTTATCAGTTAGCTCCCTTGGTTTGTGACCCGTGAAGATCCGGGAAGGATTGGTCTTCAGCAACCCATGCTTGTGGTAAGAGGCGACTAACGGGATCGGGAGGTCAGATTCGCTGACTTGGTTGACCCATGTCATTGTATCCCTAGTGAGTAGACAGATGCTCATTCTGTAATCACTGGATTGTCTGGTCCAGACTCGATTATTTACAGACCGCCGCCATAAAGCTGGCATATTGATGAGTGCGGCGTTAAACAACAACCAATCCAAACGCTTGGTTTGTGAAGGCAGCAAGGTTAACCAAGGACGTATATTATATACGTCTTTGGGTTAACCAATTCCTTTTCAGAGTACAGGAAGTTGAACACACCAACCCAAGTTCAGCACCAAATGTCACATACTTGAAAATATCTCTGCACACATTCTGCAGAAGATATGTTTAAAAAAATGAGCACGAAATATTGAAAAACATGCTCACTTTTAATTACTGGATGGGTGTACATGTAAACACAACAAATCTTACACAAAACCATCCAATCACAGCTGTCAGATGTTTCTGCCTGCGCTGAAGTGCTTCTTAAACTACGGAATCTGATTTGGTGTAGTGTCATATGTGCAGTGTAATCAGTGGCATGTGTCCTCCAACGTCAAGCGTCAAAGTGACTGCATGTGTTGACTGAGTATGGTTTTACACTACTTTTAGCAACATTCCAGCGATATCACAGCGGGGGACACCAGAAATACGCTTCACACATAGTACCCATGCGGGGATACGAACCCATGTCTTCGGCGTGACCAGCGAACGCTTTTAACCACAAGGCTACCCAATCCCCCCACCTGGGCGTGTTGAATAGTCCAGCTCGGATCATTCATCTGTTGCTACGGGTCACGTGCATACCACCTGGGTACAAACCATGTCCTGGACTGAATAACTATCCCCCAGATGTTGTTGTTGGGTTAGGTGCTTTGGTGATCGCCTTCGCCGGTTGGCATGTCGGCAGACCTATCCCTCCAAGGATGCATGGGGTCTCCCCAGATAAGAGAAATATCAACTATTGTGAATCAACTAATGTCACAGCGCAGTCACTTGTTAACACCACTGCTATTTGTATTGAATGGTCTGACTTTCCTACACAAATATATATATATATATAGGACTCAAAACACCGAGAATTGTGTTATAGTTCCAGCACTCTCTGAGAAGTGAACTGTACATTTAGGGAATGCTATATCACTGAGGAGAAAGCCATGGAGCCACCCCACCCCACCCAGAGATGCCAATTCTAATTTAGCCCAATTAGTATTTTGGCCAAACACTCATGCAAAAATTAGTATTAACCTATCCAAAGAATGTTCATATTTAGTACAGAATATATAGATATTCTAAGAACTTGTTATTAACATTGTACTCACCTAAATCAGTAGTAAGTATCCACATATTGCTGAAATTCTGAATAAAATGTGGCTGCAATTTATTGTATATGGTACATCTGCTATTGATAATTTAATTTTTTTTAAATTCGTATATTTTTACTGTTATGATAGTCGCGTATTTTGTGTTGTTTTTTTCCGTAACGAATACCATAAAGTCGTTTGAGTTGGCATCTGTCCCACTGCCCCTCCCATATGCCAGGAGAGACTATTTTAAATATTTTATCTTAACCAAATACAAAAAAATCTTTTCTTACTTTTAAGATTGTATCTTGAAAATCTGCTATGCCTATGTCCGGACTTAATTTAATTGTACCTTTTTTCTTCTTCTCTTATTATTCCTTGTATGTTTCTTGTGTTATCCGGCAAATAAAAATTCAATAAAATGTTTGTCTTCAACTTCCATAGATACCTTCTTCTCAGCAACATACACATCGGTAGACTGTGAGAAGCATCAGCATCAGAGTGAGATTTTGATGGTGGCAACAGAGCCTTGTTCTCAGCCCGGAATCATCCATATGTACTAGTTGCATAAGACTGGTAAGGACCAGACAAGCCAGTGATTGATGTACAACTCAAAAAATATTTTAAGAACACCAGATTTTTCATAAAAATATTCTTTACTTTGGTCAATTGGGTGTTCTATCATTTCTTTTGAGTGGTACAAATGCGCCACCACAATCCAAGCCTGGATACCATGATAATGATATCTGCCAACAGGACAATCTTATTTTACCTTCATGCAAAATACTTTAATTTCATTGGTCAATGACGGTTTTAACAAGTTTCCGTGTCACCCTCCCAGGAGGGCAACTGCCAAGCTCTCCGCCGAGAAGCTGAAGTGCAAACAATCATATGACGTCATAATATGACGCATGCCGTGCCGGAGTTCGAAAACCGTTCGATCAGCTGTGTTCACTTTGTATAGATATATTTGACCGACTTTCACTGCTTTATTTAAGCTATTTTATACATTGAGTGGTTTGCACACTGGCTTAAACATTAGTGGTGTAACGATTGATTCATCGATAGTATCGATGTTTGCATCGTCAACTACGGGATACGAGTGCATCGATACAAAACACATTTAGGCAATATATCAGGATATTTATATCGCAAGGGTCCATGATACATCGATGTATCGCCACAAGAGACGATATATCCCGATACTACTTAAATACTACTTAAAGTTGTAAGGAGTATTGCATTAGGAGTAGGAAGGGAGTCTCTTTGAAATACTTCTAAATTTTAAAAACAAACTGAACCTTATAGGAATCTGTTTGTGTCTGCCATCTTTGTTAGATGAACAAAGGTGTTGGTGTATCAGTGAAAGAATGTGAACATTTTTCAATCTCAGAGAACTGTAAAAGACTTGTCTTTAAGTAATTGAAACATGTTTTAGTTGTTTGACAAATAACACCATTTATTAACAACTATGAAGGATGTCTTAGCTTTGTTAAAAAAGAGAAGATATATTTAGAAAGCATACTTAAGTGTTTTTTTCAGTGATTCTGGTATAAATTACATTGAAATGTCAGTGAAAGCATTGGTGCAGAAACACAACTTTCCAAGGGAAGCCTAGATCAAAGGTTTATGTTTGAATTGTACTTTCTTAAGCATTAAATGCTGAAACTTCATTACATGAACAGCCTTTTAAGTGTGTGTGAATGTTGCACATGTTCTGCTGTATAACAAATAAAGATTCAGTCATTATATCTATCATATATGTCCTGTGTTTAGAATTGTAAAGTATCGGGATACGTATCGTATCGCCATCACTGTATCGTGATGATAATCGTCTCGCAGGTTCCTTGCCAATACTTTCATGATATATTGTATCGCCTCATTAAACTGGTATCAGGATAATCGTCTCGACACTTAGGCACCGATACACAGCTCTATTAAACATAATTAACAATTTTTATAGCAGTTTTATGCTTGTCAGAATATGTTTCACTGATGTTAAAAATCCAGACGAGAGGCAGACGCCATTTTGCTTGCATGTCATAGTCGGTAGCGATCTTAAACACAGATCTAAAATAAAATGATGTTTTGTACATTTAACATGGCGGGAAGATAAATACGTTGTATGCTTCTCCCTCAGGTAATAAGGTCTGATGTACGCCTCTTTGTAGCAGTGTGATCCCTCGCCTACCGGCTCGGATGACACTGCTACAAAAAGGCGTACATCAGACCATATTACCCTCGAGAGAAGCATACAACTTATAATATCCATAACCTCAAGTGGTAGGGTAGTCGAAGGCTTAAGAGTTTGCTCGTCACACTGAAGACCTGGGTCCAATTCCACACATGGAAACAATGTTTGAAGCCAGTTTCTCTCTCTCTCTCTCGATCGATCGATCGATCTCTCAATCTCTCTCTCGATCGATTGCTGATGACAAGTTTCAGCCAATAATCTCCAGCAGCATTGAAATGAACTTTGTACAAATAATGGGGGTTCAACCATTAGCAATGCCAACAGAACTACAAAACAATTACAAAACTTCATGTATTTTTTTTAATTTATTTTCCCCCAGTGTACAATTAGAACCTCAGCTTTTGGAAAAACCATCTGTTCTTGCCTGTCTTGTATCTGAAACACACAGAGACCAACAATAAAAAAAATGTATTGCAGAGCTCCAGATAAGATTTAGCTCATGTGGGTACTGTACCCACTGTATTTTTTTTAAGTGGGTATTATGAATGTTGAGTGGGTATTTCATTTTCCATTACACACTGCTTTCAAATATGTGCATAGTTCAGTCATTTTACTCACCTAAGTATTATGTCATTGAGTAAGTTTACTAAGCAGGTATGTTCTGCCTTGTGACATACCAAATCAAAACCAAGTTAAATATAATGGAAATGATTTCATAAAAAATCACTCATCCTATACTAACAGTACAACTTGATAGCAATCATTACGCAAGCGATTTTTATAAATATATTCCATACGCATTTGTTATAAACGTTTTGCGTATCTAACTTATTAAATGCGTAATTGGTACGCAACAATTATTTTTCAATGCGTAATTGGAAATTTTCTAGCTTATCTGGGCCTCTGAGTATTGCTTTTATAATTAAAATTCAAACCAATGATTACATGTTCCTGGTGTGCACATCTCTTTTCAACGATTTGTGGCACGTCTGGCTTGCCCCTTGAAGTTTACATGACCGAATTTGCATTCTGAGAACTTAAACCGTTAAAACTTCTATGCAAATTCAAGACAATGGAATGTATGTGTAAAACTTCACTACAAACCATAGTCATGAATATTAGCAAAATTGCTGATGTGGCTTAAATCAACATTCACTCATTACAAACCAAACACATACCCAAACCTCACATGTTAGTACTAAAATGACTAAGTACCAACTGCTGAAAGAAGTTTCAGCTTACGTATGGTTGAATAACAAAGCTGAAATCAAGATTAATATTTGATATTTCACAAAAATAATGTTCATTTGTTGAGCCCCAACAAGGTAACTATAATCATGACAAATGCAGGGCATTTCATTATTATTTTAAACAACAATTATTGGGCAATGTCCAAAAAACATATCTTTCCAAAATGAAAACAATTCAAGTGTCATCACTGGGTAAACGACCAAGTGTGGTTTAAATTATATTGGTGACAAAATAATGGTGACGTCAAAGATGGGACAAAGGGTAGAGTTACCTCCCTTCTAAACATTATGTAAGTCTTTGAAGCTAAGATGATGCGACATGACCATGTTCAAGCTGGGAGTCATCTCAAACGTTTCGCACACTCGGCCAGTACCTAAGAGTGAGGAACATTATAGACTGATACTATCTGCAATGTTAGTACATTTGTAGGTCGTGTACACTTCTCACCTTTCTTCAAATTTGGCTTTCACCTCTCGTCTTGCTTTCCTTTTGAGTCCAGGGTCCCTGAAAGCATCCTTATTTACAAGTGACTTTTCTAGGTTCACATCAACAGAATACCTGAAAGGGAATGGAGAAAATGTTATCATTACTCACCCATTGTAGATATGTTTATTAATTTTTCAATGCTATTACACATTATGTAATAAGTTACTAATAACATTATTCGCGTGATGCCGAAGGGCTACTGTTCGATTCACCGAATATGCAAGTGATGACGCCAGAGTGGTTTACAGCTATGACATCACAATCCTAATACCTCTTAGACCTTCCTTGAGTTGCGGAAAGCTGAGAGTCATCACACTGTAGGCAGTTTCTATCAATTTATGTTGGAGAGTAATGAACAGAATACTAAACTCGCTTAAGTGAAATACCATTTTTATAAAACCCGTGAAAGATTCAGTACCAAACTCGCTTTCGCTCATTTGATACCAAATCATTAACTTGCTTCATAAAAATGGTATTACACGGAAGGTCGTTTAGTATCCTCTTTCTTGGTTACATTTCTCACTTTGAATAATGTTCGTACATATATGTATTTTGATTCAATGTATCTACTTTAAGTAGAGCTGTGGCGATATATCTTAGTATCGATAATCGTGATACTTTTTCTGACAATAAATTTCCATACATTCTTTTCGTATCGTGATATGTATCGTTGACCTTAAAATTGTGAATTTTCACTAGAAAATGAAGGTTATGTCAAATTTTACACTGTTACTTTGTTATAAATATACACCTTTTTAAAGAAAATAACTAAAGATAGCATATCGTGATATGCATCGTATCGAATCGTATCGTTTCAAGATATCGCGATACGTATCGTATCGTGAAATGTCTGTATCGTCACACCTCTACCTTTAAGACTATAAATATTTTCTATGAATACAGTAAGAAGTCAGCAGTTGATGTGTTATTCAATATATTCCGTGAAATAATAACAAAATTAGTCATTTGGCATGCTAACAGTGTTCAGCCATAGGCACTCGACTATATATTCATAAGTATGATACATATATGATGCCTATATAAGAAGAGAAAAGACAGGTATCAATTTTGAACCTCTCTCCACTTTTCACTTGACACGGCAAATTTAATGAAAGCTTCAAATGGGAATAAAATTATTAGGTGAGTGATACACAAGATACTTTACAGATGTCAACTGAGTGTAAATTGTGCAGTTTATTCAACGGTCCAAGCGATGAAAGCATTTGTCAGACCGAAACCGAGCAGAGACACCATTTTGTTTTGATCTTATAGAAATAGGTATACATCATACTTATAGATATATAAGAGTCAGGTGCCTATGTGTTCAGCTATGATGACAATGACTGCATTACTGTCCAATAAAAATATAAGAGTTTTGACTTATTCTGCCTTGCCTGGATATATTCCATACATATCATGCCTTGATAAACAGGATGAAGTAAGGCAAAAATCCCCTTTGAATATTCGATTGTAGTGATAGTGAATTCATGACAGGATTAGATCATGACCAGTTCCATCAGTGTGAAATTTCAGTTCTCCAACTTAAATAGTTTTTGAAAATGTGTCCCCACTGAGAAGTGGACAGACTCGAAATGAATCCATTCTGAGTTTAAGTGACCAGAGCTCAAGATAAAATTTAGCTCATGTGGGTACTATACCCCATGTATTTTTTTGGAGTGAGTATTATGAATGTTGAGTGGGTATTTCATTTTCTGTTACCCACTGCTTTCAAATAAGTGCGCATTTCAGTCATATTACTCACCTAAGTATTATGTCATTGAGTAAGTTTACTAAGCAGGTATGTTCTGCCTTATGTCACACTTAATCAAAACCAAGTTAAATATAATGGAAATGATTTCATAAAAAATCACTCATCCTACACTGACAGTACAACACTTGTCCTATACTAAAGTACTGTCGGAAATAGAAAAAACTATTTTCTCATTTATCTCTACAATTTATGTAGTTGATATGTGCAAGTGTGAAACATGTTAAACTAAGTTCAGCCTAACTACAGTCTCAGTGAGTGAGTGAGTTTAGTTTTAAGCCGCTTTTAACAATATTCCAGCAATATCACGGCTGGGGACACCAGAAATGGGCTTCACACATTGTACCCATATGGGGACTCTAACCCGGGCCTTCAGCGTGACGAGCGAACGCTTTAACCACTAGGCTATCCCACCGCCCCACTAGTCTCAGTGGTAGGGACATAGGAAACATAAAAAAAATATTGTATTACAAAGGACATTTTTTAAATGCCCATTTTGAAATTAGAGGTAGCTTCATTATAAACGATAGCTTGTGTATAAAACAATAACTTTCATGCTGAAACTATTAAGGATGTAGCTATCATGGAGTCTCATTGTCACTATGAAAAGAAACAGATTGGAGGGTTTGTCTCAAAAGCAAAACCTGGAGGGGTGTCTGCAGACGATCGTTGGGGTCGGGCTAGGGGATAGAGATATCAGCTAAGATAAGATAATCTTTTAGGGCAATTATACTGGGGTAGTACAGGGCATGTCATAACAATTTACAAATAATATCCAGTCCTGTCAATCTTCGCGATTGGGTGGTCATGCCACCTATATATTTTGAGACATGTAATACAATGCGTTTCTATGGTTATCAGGTATCATACTCTTTTACATATCTCAACATAAACTTTATGAAAGAAAGACACGCAAGATGTTAATCAATAGATGAGACATAGTCAGCACACATGAAAAGCACAAAATATCTTTGATATGACCCTTGTGTATGCAAGGCAGCACACTATTTGCAGTTGTGTAAATTTTAGGGATACATAGTAACAGCCTAAAACAGTTTTTTCTATTTCCGACAGTACTTTAACAGTACAACTTGATAGCAATCGATGTCTTTTTCATCCATGGCGATTTTTAAAAATATATTCTGTATGCATTTGTTATAAACTTTTTGTGTATCTAACATTTTATCTGGTCCTCTGAGTGACAGTATATGTAAAAACAGCAAACATGTTTTCCAGGAAATTAAATTCCAGTTTTCCATCAGGACAAGCTACAAACACTGGAGAACTATGATTTCCACTAATACTTTGCATTTTCTACCACTGCCTACCTGGTTGGCATAAGATGATTGTAGTTGTAGACCTTGATGAAGGACTTTATCTTCGACCTCTGCTTTAGTTTCTTCTTGCCCATAGACTTGGTGACTTTGCGGGGGTAACGGTCTACACCGGCCACCAGGGCGTGGCTGTAGGGCTTGTCCTGGGTACCTTCATCATAGTTCTAAACACACAAACATGTTTCCTTGGTGATTAATTAGTAAACATACAACTTTGTGAGCAGCAACTTCTCACCTGCTGCATTAATGATGTTTTGATGTAGATCCTTACACGGTTCTGTTGAAATGATTTGGTTCACACATATTTACAATACAAAGTACATTCCATAGACCATAAAATTTGAAAAATTGAAATTTTAACCACATATCATATTTTCATAAACACTTGTGCTATCCTAACAAGTTCTTCATTCCACCTCACATTCAAAGATCAAGAAACATGTTCACCTTTCAACTGACCTGATCATAATTCAGTGTGGGGCTAATTTCATTACAGTAATTAGATGAAATAGTCACCAACACTATTGCAATAGTACTGCAGAATAGTTTACAGCAGTAAACTAAGTGCAAGGCTTGATAATCATACCAAATACTGTCAGAGAATTGAATAATGTGTGAAATTTGAATAATACACATTTTATTTCACAGTAACTGCAAATGTTGAATCTATCAAGTGTACAGTATACTTTCGATGATACTTCCGTTAATTTTAACTTCCTAAAATATATAGATTGATTGAGTTTAGTTTTATGCCGCACTTAGCAATATTACAGCTATATGCCTGTAAACTAACATATATGGAGCTACCACAGGGCAAACAATGGTGATTGTTCACAATATTATTACACAGAGGCCCAGATAAGCTGGGTATCCGGGTAAAATATGCATAGAAAATTTCCAATTACGCATTGAAAAATAATTGTTGAGTACCAATTACACATTTAAAATGTTAGATACGCAAAAAGTTTAAAACTGCGTACGGAATATATTTATAATAATGAATAATGAAATGCGTAATGAAAAAGACATTGATTGCTATCAAGTTGTACTGTCAATACAGGACTAGTGTTGTACTGTCAGTACAGGATGAGTTATTTCTTATGAAATCATTTCCATTATACTTAAGTTGGTTTTGATTAGGTATGACATAAGGCAGAACATACCTGCTTAGTAAACTTACTCAATGACATATACTTAGGTGAGTAAAATCACTGAAATACCCACACATTTGAAAGCAGTGGGTAACGGAAAATGAAATACCCACTCAACATTCATAATACCAACTCCAAAAAATACAGTGGGTACAGTACCCACATTAGCTAAATCTTATCTGGAGCTCTGATTACACACCAACATAATACTGTGAAGGTTAGAAATTTTGATACAGAACTACCAATCAAAGATCCCTGTATCAAACTTGATGTTCAGACAAGATTGAAAGGTATTCTTGTTTGCACCCAAAATCTACTAGGCTACCACAGTAAATCTTCCTCAGCAATGCACTTACCTTTACTATGACTGCTTTACGTCCAGCAAACCTGCCCCCGAGAATAAGGACAACTTTGCCTGATTTCATGAACTTGCCCATGGCTGCAAAGACAAATATATCATATATGAATATTTCCTACAATATGGATGAAAAAAACATTTCTCAAACAGTGAACTGGCAAATGGAAATCAAGGGTGGGTGACTTGCAATCCCAATAACCATTGAAATGACACCAAAGGTTAGTGAAGGCTTACCAAAATGCGAGCCATAGAGAGAAAGACGAAACATAGATGCTGAGACTGTTATATCAAATTTGCTGATGGGCTGAATACAACCAAAGACAACCTAACCGCATGATTGTAACAATTATCAATACATGGAATAAATGAGTGAGTTTAGTTGTACACTGCTTTTAGCAATATTCCAGCAATATCACAGCAAGAGACACCAAAATGAGCTTCACACATTGTATCCATGTGGGGAATCAAACCCGGGTCTTCGGTGCGACGAGTGAAGGCTTTAACCACTAGGCTACCCCCACTGCCCCTCTCACTACAAGGAATAGGAATTTGCTACTTCACTATATTTCTGTGACATGCGGTGCACGAGTCAGTGAATTTAGCTTTACGTGCGGTCGTGAGTTTTAAACCGCACTCAGCAACATTCCAGCTATATGGCAGAGGTCTGTAAATAAATCTGGACCAGACAATCAAGTGATCAACAGCATGAGCATCAATCTACGCATTGGGATATAATGACATGTGTCAACGAGCCTGACCACCCACTCCCTGTTGGTCACCTCTTGCAAGCATGGGTTACTGAAGATCAATTCTAACCCTGATCTTCACGGATGAAGCAAGTCACTATCACTGGTAGAACAAGAGTGGCAAATGTATATTACATAATTCATCAATTGTTTGTTACCAAACTAATGACAAGAGATCACTTTCTGATGGCCCTAGACAGGGTTGTACTTTGACCTCCTGAACTAGGGGTCTAGGGGACCGTCAATTACTGATTTCCAGGGTCCCTAAAAGAAATATGAACGTCCTGTAAAGTAATGAAAAGAGTAGTGTAAGGAACCATCACATTAGTAAATACAGACACCAGAAAGGCTGGCTGCATATCTGTGTAAAATAATGCAAAAATAATGTCCATGCCTCACTTTATATTTTAATGCATACAAGTATGCTTGCATTTTTATGAAAACCCTATAGTCTTAAATCAGAATGTGCCAATACTCCAATGAGGATTTGATTGAATGGGAAAAGAAGTTTCTGTGACTTTGGATTATACAGAAGTGTGGTGAAATGTTCACTGTGGTTTGTGTCGTGTATCAAACATTTATGAAATCAACAAATGTGGGCATTTGAAAGGACAAAAAAATCAGCATCACTTGCCCCAATGACAACATGGAAAACTAGCAAGCATGTCAACAAAAATGTATATAAAGCAGTGAAGGAACATGTACTTGATGTTAATCACAGTGAAGGCTGCCTTTATGATAATGTTTCTAGAGATGACAGAACATTTAGACAGTGTATTTTGATCCTACCTAAAAATTGCAATCAGTGAGACATTATGATTTGCCTATTTTGTTGTGATTGAAAATGATATTAAGGCTTTGAAATACTTTCATTATTGACCTACACAAACTCTCCACAATATAAATCTAACGTTATTTGCTGCAGTACCCCCGTGGTCTACGAAATCTGTTAGATTTGATTAGCAATTTCCATGTGAAGGTGATTATATCAACACCACTAGATGATATGGAGCGGACATCAACCCAAGACCACCCACCTCATTCAAGCCGACGTTAGCGGTCTTAAATTTATAACAAATATTCATACCATCATAACGTGATGTGCTCAATCAACGCCTTAAAATCAACACAATTAGTCAGTCCTACATGAACAACACGTATGAATCCTGTCACGCTGACTTCATGTCTATATAGGCTATTTGAAATCACTATTTTGCTTTCAAACGCAAATGATTGTGTAAAATATCTGGCATAAACCAAATACAAATGTCTCGGGAAAATATGTCACTCAATAAAAGTCATTTGTTAATCATTGTATTTCAGATTGAAACCGATTTATGTTCGGCATTTGCAGAAAACTTGCCTGCGATGGGACGTAAACGGAAAAGAGGCTTAGCGGAAGTTGGTTTTGAAGGATATTGCTTCCCATACAACTGATTGACACTTAGACTGTATAATGCCAGACATACAGTGGATGAATAGCCTAGACCACGTTAGATGGTGTACATTGGTATAAATTGCCCAAACGTTTCAAAATTTTCTTACCATCATTAAATTTTATATCAATCATCTTAATGAAAAGCAAGAAACTATTCATTTTGCTGCAGGGGTCGTCAACACCTACCTGTACTTAGTACAGGTACATGTACCCCAGGAACGTTCCTGTATACAGAAATGTAACTTAAACAAAGTCAAACGTACCCTGAACCTAAAAGGCAGATGAGTCCATATTCTTCAAACCAAAACTGAAGCCGGTTCGTGTTATAGTTGCCTTTCGCTGATTATTCGTCACTGTGTATCTGCATCTCATACAATATAGTGGCAGTTCCCATCAAGAAAACGGTGCAGAATGGATCCGTCCTAATATACTCTTTGACAAATATGCTAGTTCAGAAGTTCCACCTTACAAAGTCACGGCCCGTTGTTCATCTCCACACCGAACAATATTTCATAACGCGGTACATTAATTATTTTAGGACTACATTTTCTTACTTTCCCACACCGGATTCGAACCCACATTCTCAGAAAGAGGTACCAGATCGCCAGTACACAAAGTCAGCGATCTTTTGACCACCTTCCAAAAGGCATTGTGCATATATACATAATCAATTATCATTCCATGGGCTTCAGAACCATCGTGACTAAAAGACGACATTTGAAATAAGCTGTACTTGAAGCGTTCGTAAAAGAATGCAATAACTGCCTTTCCGATGACTTTAACTTGAACACGTTGGTTGGGTGTTGTTTAATGCCGCACCCAGCAATGTTCCAGCTGTATGGCGGCGGTTTGTAAATAATCGAGTCTGGACCAGACAATCCAGTGATTAACTGCATTAGCATCGATCTGCACAACTGGGATACGATGACAGGTGTCAGCGAGCCCGACCACCCGATCCCGTTAGTCGCCTCGTTCGACAAGCATGAGTTATTGAAGACCAGGTGAACACGCCTTCTCCCACTGTGTAGAATGGGGAACAGCTTTGGTTAACGGGGTGAACTGTAGGATATAATATGGACTCTCGTCACGTGGATGTATCTGTTTTGATTGTCTAACATAAATCATTGTAAATTGCTACAACGATGCTATTAACTACAGTATATGTGAACAATTAACAGGCCTTCCAATGAAAATCACCAGAAAGCAGCCAGACTATATTAAGTGAACAAATGTTGTTTTACGGCGCTTTTAGCAATATTCCAGCAATATCACCAAACAAATCCATGTGGGGAATCGAACCATGGTTTTCAGCGTGACGAGCGGATGCTTGACCCATTAGGCTACCCACGACTATAGAATTAGTACGCTTAAAATAGAAAAATCCAAGTAAATTGCAAACAAGACACCATTCCTGAAACGTATGCCTCGCACTGATAAACACCCGACATTTTCAGTGGAACGGAACAGAAATTCACACAGTCCGCAACAGGTTTAGTGACACCCACTCGGTGTGTTGCCGTCTCCACTGAAAACATGGCGGTTGTATTCATCATGCGTACTTTATTGAGTCCCCTTTGTAATCTGTGTTGCTGTTTCTTTTTAAAGTGTGTACATAATCCGTAGAATGGTTGGTCTGTGTTGGTTGTCCTGTTCTGTCCGGTTATTTACAATTCCGAAACTGTCGTAAAAACGATTTCATTATCATGAATGCCTATAATGTAGAATTTATAAACTTTCTTTAGAGCATGTTTGTATACTTTCACCGTGTATTGAGAGACAGCCTTGTTTATAATTGTATTTGATTTGGGTGGGTTGACTCTGATGTCCTTGATTGGAACCCTTGAAGATCCAGGTTAGAATTGGTCTTCAGCAACCCACGCTTGTCTCTGAGAAAGTGTTTGCCAGGTCAAACATCGAATGATTTGTGTGTTGATTATTTGTTGTTTAACGCCGCACTCAGCAATTTACTAGACAGTCCAGTGATCAACAGCATGAGCGTCGACCTACGCAATTGGGATACGATGGCATGTGTCAACCAAGTCAGGAAGCCTGACCACCCGATCTCGTTAGTCGACTCTCACGACAAGCATGGATTGCTAAAGACAGTTCTAACCCGGATCTTCACGGGGAGACAAGCATGGGTTGCTGAAGACCAGTTCAAACCCGGATCTTCACGGGGAGACAAGCATGGGTTGCTGAAGACCAGTTCTAACCTGGATCTTCACGGGGAGACAAGCATGGGTTGCTGAAGACCAGTTCTAACCCGGATCTTCACGGGTATCCCGGGTGACTCATGGCCGATGTCCTTTCTCGAGTAAAAGCGAAATGTTTCCACTTTATTTGAATACATTATTTATTATTGCAATTTTTTACGAAACTTCGAGGTATTGGCCTAATTAAATAAACCAGAAAATGATAGAAACGAGGACAAAATTTGAAAATTCGAGTATTTTCAATAAAATTGAAATAATGAAAATATAATCGAACATACGAAAATATAATCAGGGTAGCGAGAGAAAAAAATTAAATTTCGACAAAATTCAACAATGACTCGAAATTTCGGTTGACTAAATAAAGCACGATGCCTCTTTGGTAACTTTGGTAACTTGCCTACTGTAAGCCACCATATAGAGCGTGTTAAAACATTATTCCTATCCACGGCTGTTCGCACTCACTCCACTGTACTGCACGTCGCACCTTCAGCACATGTTGCCAACAGAATCATAACTGCCTATATTAAATTGTATGCAGTTCAATATTTCGACTTTTCGAGCCGTTTGTCAAAATGTATGTCACGTGACCGTTGTACAGAGACATCTTGTGTCACGTGGCAGCGATCGGCAGATGTACGCCACAATCAATGAATCTCTGTTCAGACCATTAACCACGGTCCAGTTAAATAATAGAAAATACAGAAAGCGGTGATGAATTTATCGATAGCAATATCTCTCT